CCACAGGGCAGGGGGCAGGGGCAGTCCCGCCCGGCTGCACCCTCAGTCCCCGTCCCGGGCCCTCGGCTCAGGACAATCTTGATTCCAGGAAGGAAAACACGACGTCGAGGGATCATCCACCCTGTTTTACATGGTGCACTGTGGGAAAGCCTTGTACAACAACCTGCTGTGGAGGAACTGGGCCACGGGGTCCTTGTCCAAAATGGTCATTGTTGGGAACAGCTTTAAAGGAATCGAGGAAAGGTTGTGGTGCCTCCAGCTGGGTTTTCCTCTCCTTGCTTCCTTTACTCCTTTTTTCCCCGTTGTTTCTGACAATGATTTCCAGATTTTGCTCATTTTCAGCTTGCAGTCATCAAGCATCTCCTGCCTTTTCTGTCCCCCATCCCTGTTCAGAAAAGTTGTCTTCATTTCTCAGGAGTGTCGTGTCTAATGCTGGTTCCCTTGTGTGATTCCAGGTTGTTGTCAAGAATACTGGAGAGAGATTATTCTTACATAGCCAAGGTATGAGTCACTAGATTTTTTAACCTTTTTCTTTTTAAAAAAGATGGTGGTTGTTTTCCAAACCTTTTTCCCTGGATGCTGCAATATAAAAATTAATTGCTTTAGGATCATTTAATAGAATCATAGACTGCCAGGTTGGAAGGGGACCTGAAGGATCATCTGGTCCAACATTTCTAGGCACTACCATAGTTTATATGAGGTGGCTCAGTACCCTGTCAAGCTGAGACTTTAAACTGTCCAGTGTGAGGGCATCTACTACTTCCTGTGGGAGACTATTCCCATGTTTGACTGTCCTCATGGTGAAACATTTACCTCTTGTGTCCAATCAGGAGCAACTTGTGCCCACGACCCCTTGTCTTTTCCATGTGACTTGTAAATAATTTCACCTTACCTGCACGCAGGGGTTGAAGTTAATGTAGCATCATCCTCACCATCCTTAACTGGAAAGTTCTGCATCATATGTACCTTTTCTCCCAAATTCTCTCTAGGTCTTGAAAGGGACAGAGGAGGTGGCCTTCCCCACCCACCCACGGTACCTGGACACCTTTAACGACACCTCTGTCCACTGGTTTCCCTTGCAAAAACTGCAGGAACTCTCCCCCCAGGTCTGGGACTGTGTGGAGGAGCCAACATACCAGGAGTGTGATGACTTGGAGATCATCAGGAAGGAGGAGGGAGGTGGGAGACACAGCCCCACTGCCACCCAGTGCTGACCCCTGCAGCAGGGGAACCGGGTGCTGAGCGTGGTGGGACATTTTTGTATCTTAATTATTTAATAAAAGGTGAAGCTGTGCTTTGACTTGCACTCAGTTACAGCCAACAAATTTAACTAAAACCTGTCTTTTAAGGCATCCATGCTGCATAATGATTGCTCTTTTCATCACCTCCCCTTTCATGAATAATTCAAAGCCTCTGCACAGATTTTGAGGCATCAGAAAGGGGGAATTATTTGAGCAGAGGTTGTAGTTGGAGGTGTTGATGCCTAGTTCCTAATGCAGGCTTATAGAAGCTTCCTCACAGCACAGCCGAGGAGAGATGAGAACAAGTCCTGGTGGCACTTGGCAGAGAAGAGCCTGCTGCAGAAGGGACTCTGTGGTACAGTAACTCACTGCCAGAGTGTGCAGCAGGCAGGGAGAAGCTGTGACACCTCTGGAGTCCTCCAGGTCTGGGCCAGACCAGCCCTCAATCATCAGCTTTTGGAGCAGATAATCATCTCCCATGGACCCTTGGATCTGCTTGTTCCTGCCTTAGCACTGACGGGCCCATGTGACCCCAGCTCTGGACACTGCCCAGACAGCTCTTCTAAGAAAAAAATCCCAGCATCCAGCTACAGTTTCACTCTATTTACAAATCTGTAACTTCTTTATTCAAAGAGTTACACTAAAAAAAAGTCAGGGAGGTGGTGGCAGCAGTTCAGGCAGGGCCTCACTTGGCCATGTCGATGAGGCTCTGGAGGGAGGTGGGCACCCAGGTCTTCTCTCCCTGCACAAACACCACGCCCCGGTCGATGTAGATGACGATCCTCCCGAAGGTGTAGAGCTGCTTCCCCTCGTGCCGCTTCCCGATCACGGGCATGAAGACGATGTTGTGCTCCTCTGCCTTGGTCTGGATCAGGTCCTTGAAGTTCATGGGCACGGAGCTGGCGGCCGCGCCGATGCCGCGCTGGGCCATGTTCTCGGCCTCCCGCCGCTCCTGCATCGCCTCGTACTGGAAATCCTTCCGGCGCTCCGTGTGCGTCAGGTACGCGATGTTCTCCCGCGCGCCCGGCTGCATGTACCCGCCTGTTTGGGGAGACAGTTGGTGAAAACAAGGTCCCAGCCCACGCCTGGGGGGAAGGTCTGTGGGTAAACTCCAGCCCAGGACACAGGGAAGTCCACCTGCCGCCCCTCTTTGCTCATCAGGTTTTATGCTGTTCACGCAGCCTAGGCCGGCTCGGTGAACTTGAGAGCTGCAGCATCAGGATTTGATACCATCCCAAATGGTACCTGCACAGGAGAGGACTGTGCTGCTCTGCTCCTGGCAAAGGGAAAACATCAACAACAACAACAAAAATGCCCCTCAAAGCCAAACCTGGCCTGTGGCTGCCTCGTGCCACTGCTGGGTTACAGTGACTCCTGCAAAACCAGGCAAAGAATGGAGCAGGAAGCAGCCCTGCAGCAGGGACGCATCTGCTGCCAGCCCCAGCTCACCCTATGGCTGCAGGAGTTCTGTGCCACAAGTTCCTCAGTGGGTGAATTCCTCTTTGTGCAACACCTGGCTGTGGTTGTATAATTTACCACAGAAACATAACACAACAGACCCCAAGGAACCCTCCACGATTCTGATGCAGACTCTCCATCAGACTGGACAGCAAGCAAGAGGAATGCAGGAAAGGGACTCTCAGCCTTGGAGGACCTGACAAATTTCAGGTGCTGCTCCCTCACCCACATCTTCTCTCTTTTATACAGTTTAATTCCCAGCAAATTCCTAACCATCTATTTTGGGTCACAGGGAGAGTCATGAGGAAGGGAGAGGCACTGCTCTGAAGCTAAGGAGAAGAACCAGTATCTCACAGGAAAGAAAAACATTCAACAAATGAAAGCTTCACAAGTCAACACCTTTCAAGGATGGCCTCAGTGACCAACAAACACCACCACCAGGCAAGGCTGGAAGAGGATCAGCTGCCACCAAAACCCTGTTTCTGCTTCAGTGAAGCACAGACAATTATTAAGTAGCACCCTACAGTGTCATTTTAGGACACAGCAAGGTAAAAAACACTTGGAATTTTACTGCTCCAGTGCCAGTTAGCAGGGCAGTGCCTAAACACAGACTCACAGGAACAACACTGCTCTGCTGCCACCACAGCAAGAGGAGCCACCACCACAAGCCACCTACCCACGCTGGAGGAGACAGCCCGGTTCATGATATCAAGAGCTTCATTAAATTTGTCTTTGATTGAAGGATGTGCTAACACTTGGTCTGAGAACATGGACTTCCAACCCAAGTACCACTTGGTAATTTCTTCATAATTGGGGCTGTTACTGAGCCAAGAGCACAGCACCTGCAAAACAAAACCACAGATGAATGCAGCAGGACAGGTATGTTTATGGAGGAGAGTCCTTAACATCAATTAGTTCATTACTGAGAAAACAAAGGACTGTGAAAATCTCAGGAAATTGTCTGTTCTGATGTGTGTGAAGCAACAAGTAGAAATTACCCATTTGGCAGTTCAGCCATTTCAATGCCGGGGCAGCAATTTCCAGGCTGGAGCCACTAGAACACTTTAGAGCCAGTTCATGAACAGCTGCTCACCTGCAGCCACTTGGGGAAGAAGTGTTTCTCCAGCAGCCCAACAAGACTGGAGACAGAAATCATCCCCTCCCAGTCAACCACCCAGTAGAAAGCATCCATGTGCTGCTGGTGAGGGTTTATGATGAGTTCATTCAAACACATCCCTGGGAAAAGAGGGAGAAGAGTTAGGAGAGAGCTTGACTCCCAGTTTTATCCAAGCCCTGACCTATGTCCCCAGCAAGACAGGATTTGAGGAGCACCTGGATTGTGTGTTACCCTAAGAGACATGTGGGATCTTTAAACTGTCTGCCTGCCACCAAAACAGCAAGCTTCCACTTCCAGTAATCCCAGTGTGCTGCCAGAACTGAGACACTTAAAACTGCTTTTTAGACCACAGTCTTTTAGCTGGTTCTTGTGGCCAAAGGGTGAGTTACAAGATCTCATGGTGAAGCATTAGCTCAGACCCAGGAACACAGCAGTAACAGAGACCCATTTTATAGCTTGGTACCATCTGACAGCTCTTGGGTGTTGCTGTCAGCTGAAGAACAGAGGAAGCAGAGGATTTAGAAAAGTAAGACAGAAAATACAGAATAATCAGGGCACTTCCTGTATTTTCTAAAATGTCTGCCTCTGAAGCAGGACTAGCAGCAGGGAAGAAGATTCAAGTTGGTCTAAACTCACTCCCTTACTTGCTTACTCCACTTCTAACACTTGCAATCCCCTGCCAACACCCATCTGTGCTGGGTGCAAGGGGGAAGCCTGCAGAAATTCAGCACTGCTTGGCTGGTCTCACCGAGTTTAGGGACGATGTTTTTGACCATGAAAGCCTCCCAGGAGCCAGGTGTGAACACCTCCTTCCAGGGCTGCAGGATGAGCTTGGCAGAGGAGTCACTGGGGTGCCACTTCTGCAGGGCGTTGGCCAGCTTGTTGCGGATCGGGGAGGGGGGCGGCCCCAGCCGCGCCTGCATCAGGGGCAGCCAGGGGTGGATCCAGGAGTGGATGGGGACTGTGTCTGTCAGGGGATTCCAGTTTTCTACCTTGAGGTAAAACAGGAGAGATTGAACTAAGTCCATCCCTCCACAGCAAGTCCTGCCAGATGCAAAGAGAGCAGCACTCGGACACCAGGAGCCAACAGGCACTGCAGAATCCCAGGTGCCAGAGCACAGCTGTGTTCCAGCACAGCCCCCTCACCTCTTTCTGCAGCTTGGGGAAGATGAGCTGATCCAGAATGTTATCTAGTATCCAGACGGGAACAGCGGTAACCCAGCTATCCAAGAAATCCACCATGGACCCACAGTTCCTGGGTTGCCACTGAGCCACAATGTTTCTGACATAAGGCATCCAGATTTCCCACATCAGTCTGGAAAAAAAATAGTAATAAATCAAAGCTAAGCTCAAAGCAATAGACCTAGGCCTAAGTAAATCAAACGGCAACTGCTATTTAAGAGCTCCTGCTTTTGATACAGCTGACAGCTGGCTTTTAACAGACACATCAAGAGAATCATCTGGAAAGCACACTCGTGTCTGTTCTTTTCTATCCCTGAGGAAGCAGCCCTTGAAGATGCTGCACAAAATGCAACTTATTTGCTCTTTACCTGTGAAAAGCATCTGTTGACAGGTCCTGCCCACTGTGTGATAACAGCTGGTCGTTTTCCAAAAGGCTCTTCCACTTGGCTATGATCTCTGTGCCATATGTACAGTCCTGGGAATGATAAGTGTCATTAATTACCTGGTGTCATTCATTTCAGCTGGTATCTGCACAGAGCAGGCACAGCTTCCTCACCCCCTCAGAAGGCAAGTGAGGAGCTTGCAGCTGTGATGAGTGAAGCCCCAGAGGAAAATCCCACTTTATGGATCTAATGTATCTCCAGGGGGGAAAGGATGGCCTGAACTTTTTCAGGTGCACAGGCAGAATTCAGAACCTCACCCATCACCACCACACGGGCATAAAGGGCAGACAGGGTGAGTCTGCCTGACAGACGAACCGACCCCTCCTGTTCCTGCTGACAAAGACCAGAGACTGAGCCTTCATCTGCTTTCTCCTCCCCACACCCATGAGAGTGACTGATTTTAGCCTTCAAGCTCCCAAGCTGTTAGCCACCTCACAGCAGCAGCCCTCAAGCACAGCACGTGTCAGTGGGTGCAGAGTGGGGCCATTCTGTGCACATTTTAGTTTCACTCTGCCACAAGCACCAGTTTTCTCTGGATCCTTCCTCGCTCCCACCAGGCAAGAGCAAGGTGCTTTTCCTTCCTTTTTCTCTCCAGACTGACCAAGAGTTTGGGACAAGGAGTGGAAGGGAAGTTGAGAAAATCCCAACAACTCAAGCCATCAGGTAAGAGCTGCAGGTAAACGGAACTACCGCCCACCTTGAGGGGATCCCAGTTTTTGAAGTAATCCTTCATGAGAGGGTAGACGATGGCCACGGCCAGGTCGACCCTGTCAGACATCCTGTACTCCTCGTAGTACTTGTCTTGAAGGGTCTCAAAGATCTTGGCACACTCATCCAGGGTCAGGGGGTTCTCACAGCCGGGCTGCATCCGTCTCTCACACTCCTCCACCATCTCCAGCACCTTGCTGAGGTTGCCGATCGCCTTCTCCTCGTGCGAGAGGACTTCAGACATCTTCTGTATCTCGTGGGTCAGGTTGACCACCATGTCCCTCTCGTACTGCAGCTGCCGGTCGCTCTGGATGATCTCCTGCTCCGTCAGGTCGATGAGGAGCTGCAGGTTGTGCTCCAGCTCGGGCAGGGCAAAGCCCTGGGCCTTGGCGTCCTTGCCGGGCGGCTGCTGGGGGCTGTCGTCCGGGATGTTGTGCTTGTGGCTGATCTGGCTGTAGCTGTAATACACCTTCTGCTCCCGGCCCGTCATGTCTATCACCTGCCAACAGAGCGGGTAAAGCAGGTCTCAAAACGGTACCTGTGTCTGGTGTGGGGAAAAAATGGGAGAAAATCCCTGATTCCAAACTGAACCCTGGAGGTTTCCAAGCACTGGGATTGCTCCAGGAGGCTGTGACACACTCGGCTCCCCAATTGGTTCTGCAGGCAAGTGCAAGCAGCACCCTATCCATTCCTGCATGGAGTCTTAGGTGCTTTTATACTTTTCAAAAGACATACTAATGGCAGAAGAATAGTGTTATTAAGTGCATAACAGACCAACCACTCCCTCCCCCTTCCAGGCAGGAGATGGGTCACACTGTGCACAATCCCACTGAGCACAACTGTGCCTCCAGGAGCAGAAGAGTTTCATTTATGACAATTAACCTGGATTTGCAATTACAAGTCCCCCCTCATTTAAGCTGACTTGCCTGTTCCAGAGGCCAAAAAAGTTGCTAAAAAAGAAATGCAAGGTCCCAGGTGACAGAGTGGTCTGTTACAGGATCCAGTGGTGAGTCTGAGGCTGCAGACAGGCTCTCAGAACTGTTCTGTTCAGGTGTGGACAAAGTATCCTCAGAGATGCCACTTTTTGGGTTATCAATCTTACCTTGACTTGGGAGATCTCCTTCTGAGGGGCTGAAAGCTTCTTGTTGATCCTGCCCTTGGCTTTCAGTTCTTCCACTGTCTTGTAGCTGTATTTGGGCTTCTTCTTGCCTCCATTAGGGTCCTTCCTCCACTGGCTGAGCTCCTTCTGAAATTCCTGCCCAGAAACAAAGAGGAGCTGTGGTTGTTGCTCTCTGTCCTGCCCTGAATTTGCCTCCATTTTCTGCAGGAGAATGACCACCAGATCCAGAAGAAATGTTGTACAGCAAAGTCACTGGGAGAGTGGTGGAAGTCAGTGACCAATGGGTCAGGTGCTGTGGCCTGGTCACCCAGCCTGTCCCCAGCACCTCCAGTCTGGTTCTGGCCTGTTTTTCTTTTGGAAAAAGGCCAAAGATTCTTCACCTGGGGGGGGGCTGTTTGAAGGTAGAGAGACTATTGGAATGAGCCAGAAACAACAAAAAAAATATCACAGCAATGGGAGAAACATCTGAACAGAATTCAGGTGCTTTGTCTTCAGGGTATCTAAATCAGCCCAGATGTTTTCTCTGGCACAGGAGCTGATCCCAGCACCCAGTTTTGTACATAAAACACAACAGGGAAACAGAGCAAGAATCCCAGGGATACCTCCTCAGCTTCTTCCTCCGAGTCCACAACAGGGAAGTCCTGCAGAGACTGGCTGGTCCTCTCGGAGCCGTAGGCACCGACGGCCCCTTTGCCTTTCCTCTGCTTGGCCTCGATGGGGTTGATGATTCCTGCAGGACAGCACTTGGATCAGGAGGGGTTTGTCCCCTGAGAGGACAGGGAGTGTGGCTCTCACAGCACCCTGTGGTTCCACCAGCACCCAGCCTGGCTCTGCAGCTGGGGACTCTTCCCCCACCTCACTCTTTGTAGCCAGTGGGTGATTTTAGCAATTATATTTTAGGCAATAGATTTTCTAATCACTTCATTCCAGCACACACCAACAAACCCAAAGCAGAGCATTGTTCCCATCTGCCTTTCACTGCTTTTTTATTCCATCACCTTAAATAACATCTCATTTTCTGTGAGCTGATGCATTTGGACTTTACCCCCTTCTCATGCAAAATAACACAAGCCCAAATCTGCTCTGGTTTAAGTTAAATACAACTGAGCCTTGTCATAAGAGCACAGATCCCTTGCAAGGAAACAAGAAGCTGGAAGAGTGAAGCTGGAGATGGCAGCTCTCAAAGAACCCAAACACAACCCCAGATTACTAATTAGCATGAAGAGACCAGACACAGAACCACGGTACCTTGAGCATTCTTCCCCAGACCTCTTCCTGGGACATAACCCATCTTCTGGAGAAGCTTCTGCCCAATTCCCTTCGTGTGTCTCTCCCAGCTGCCAAAATCCATGAAAGATTTTGTCCCTCCTACAAAGCCCTTCTGGCTGGGCTTAAAGTTACCACCCTGTTAAACAAACAAACAAACATCCCCCCGTGACAGTGACCCCACAGAAGGCATCACAGGACCCCAGACCTGGGAAATTCCACCCAAAAGGAAGATCCTTCCCAGAGCAGCTCAGAGATCACTGCACAGTTCACCAAAATCCCCTGTGCATCCAGGCTAGGAATTCCCTGACATTCCTCAGATGGGAAAGGAAAATCCTGCCAGTCTGGCAGCTCTGAGGCTCCAGCACTGACTGAAGCTGTTTCCTGATCCTGTCTGTGCTTGGAAACTGAAAATATGCCTTGGAATTTCCCTCTACACCATGCTCAGATTTGTGACACTGTTCTACAAGACTGAAACATCTTTGAAATTTGTGTTATCTAAAGAAAGGAAGTAAACCATGGACATTTTAACCTCAGCTGACCACAGGGAATATTAACAAGGTAAAAGGGCCCAAAAGGCCTCAGGTTCCCAAGCACACACAAGGATACATCACAACAGCTCCAAAAGGAGGAGAAAATGTCCCCTCGAGTGCAGGCTGCCACGTGGGATCTCTGGTTTTAACCATTCCTCCCTTTCTCTGTTATTGCTTAGAGCAGAGTTCCACACACACACTCCACAGAGCTGGCAGCTTCCTGGACAACTCACTGTTTTTAACTTCTTTGGCACAAACTCCTTGGGGACTTCTTCCTGCTTCACGGGCTTCTCATCCTCATCAGAGTCCTCCTCAGACATCTCCTCTGCTGCTGACTTTTTCAGCCCAGCACTGATGAAGTTCACGGGGGCCGAGTAGTCCCTGGAGCTGCACAAAAACCAGGCCCGTGAGGGAATTCTGCACCAGGACACGGGAATTCTGTGCGAGGACACGTTCCTGCACAACGCCTGGGGCTGCTGTGCCTTACATTCCACCTGAAGCCAAAGCTACACACTGACAGGCAGCTTTGCGCTGGTCTCAGCCAGGAAATGACCCCCCGGGCAGTGGTTCAGGAAATTCATTAGCCAATTCCCTTAGCACATTAGGAGACACTTCACACACATCATCTGCAATCACCGGCTTGTGGCGGCTCTGCGTTACCTCCCCTGTCTCCCCCCAGGGTGTCTGGGCGCCTCGGCGTCCCCACACGCGCTGCTGGGGGGGCAGCCTGGGAGCCCTGTGCCCTCCGCTCCTGCCCAAGTGTCTCTGCTTCCCTCCCCACCCTGATCTTGGCTTCCCTGGGCATCCTGCTGCAGGGAGATGGGGGAATCTGTCCCCAGGGCAGTGCCAGAGGCAACTCACTGACACCAGCGGGCACTGGGACAGCTGGGGTGCTCCCACAGAAACCTGGGGCCGCTCAGGGGGCCCCTCCCGGCCCGCACCCCGCCCCGCACCGCTTGCCGCCGAAGCTGGGCCGCTCCTCGTCCGAGTCGCGCTCGGCCCACACGCCGCAGGTGGCCTC